GAAACGTGAAACAAGTGGAATCATGAGCAGTCGTCATTCAGCCATCACTATCAAGCAGAAGTGGCGGCAGGATTGGAGAACACCTTGCAGTATTGATCGGGCACTTGTGATTTCCGTGACCCGTCGCGTGAATCGCGCAAATCGCGAAAATCGCGAAAATCAGCGAAACCTGCGACGGATCGCGGACTCTGACACCAGCCTAATGCGCAGCGTCAAAAATGAATATCATTTTTGCTATCATGACCTACAATTATAAGGGTGTGGCCACAGGACACAAAAGACTTTCGCGCTTCGCAGCGCGAAACATTCTCCGCTGCGGGAACCTCAGGTCTACCGCTGATCATCACAGTGAACCCCGAGATTCCCGCAACGAACGATGTTTCGCGCTGCGAAACGCGAAAAAGTCGCTTTTTGTCCTAATGAACCACACCCGAATTATGATTATGATCTTTTGACGAAAAATAAAATTTTGGAATTCTGGGGCTGTAATGGTAGGGTGCCTAATTTCCATTTTTTTGCAAACACAACTTGTTTCAAATGCGTCCTCCAATTTTCTTCTCGTGTCAGATGCAGATTTCTTTTCAGGGGTACAAAGAATGGCTTCGCGATCGCTGGCCCAGGTTGGTCGGTCGGCCACGGCTCGCCTGTTAAAATCTAATCTGCAGAGGATTGTACTTCCAGCTGCTGCTGCCAGTGGTGCGTTACTTTTTCCATGCTTTCCGTTCTGTTTCTTTTTAGTTTTGGTTTCCATTTGTCACTAATTCTGTTGGATTGCAAACTTTTTTGAATGAGTTTTCATTTCGATATTTTCCAGTGCGCCACAGCTCGAACACCGTCGATAAGAGAGGGGTTCATTCTTCCGTCGTGGCTCAGGCGCAAGCTCAGGCTGACAAGGGTGTACGTCATATTTTATGCTCGATTTTGTCATCCCTTTCGAAGATGTATTTTCGTTTAATCCTAGCTCCATCACAATCAACTCTTTCCATTTTTTGATTAATTCCCATCTTCCATGTTTCCTGCGTTTATAGTGTCTAACCCATGTAAAGCCTCGGGAGGCGTTCTTCCTTTTTTCGCACTTTCCTTTATTAAGATCTTTTTGTACAGTGCTAGTCGGGTGGGGAATCACGGATTACTTGAGCTCTCTTCTATGGTCCTGTCCCGAATGGCTAGAGCACAGACGATTGGGGAATTAAGCCAGGCTCGGCTCCAAATCTAAGGAGGAAGCTGAGAACGTCAAGGCTAAGCCTTGGAGGGGAGGGGAACTTTAGAGGAATAGCAAAACTTCGAACATGTGAGATCACAGCAGTCATGAGCCGTTGTTTAAGCGCAGCGAGAGCACCTTAATGAAGGGTTCCAAAGAACAAGTTCAAGTAGACCGCGTCGGAAGGGTACACTGATTTTTTTTAAATAATCGTGGATGCGAAAGATACAGTGGGGCCTAGTCTCCATTGCTATGATGTCACGAGAATCGATAGATAGCCTTTTGGGACGAAGGACTTTCGCGCCTTTCAGTGCGAAGTAAGGGAATTCGTGAGCCAGGGGGAGTGCAGCCAACTCAGGGGGTTGGCTGAGCGGAATTATCTGACAAGCGTGAGAAGCTGGGATGTGCGAGTTATTCTCATAGTGTCTCGTTTCATTATGGCAGTGAATACCATTCCACGTTCATTTCGCGCCTACCGTGGTCAGAGAATGGCCATGCCTCCTGACTAACATTGCACCGCTTTTTCATAATCTTAATGCATTACTCTTCCATTCCCCTAGAAGTAGAACACTCTTTTCCTTTTGTCAAGGGCTAGCAAATCGATGGCAATAAAGAAAATCAACTTTGCACACACACAACCACGCTTTGAGACTAGGCAGAACAGAGAGTGTGCCTAATCAATCCTTCGAGAAGTTTGAATGAAAGATATGAGCGTTACGTTGGGGGAATGTCGGCGCTTGCCTCAATCGGCATCTACCTGTAAGAGTTCTAGAGCCCTGGCGGCGGCGGTAAGTTGCGATAATAACTTAACTTTAGCAGTGATAGTGCAAGACACATGGCAATGTATATTTTTCAAAGACTAGTCTGCCGAAGGCAGGGCGTTCCGGTGCTTACAATAAGTTGTGCGGACAATGGACAACCTAATATTGCAAAATGAGTTCTTTTTGATGGTCGGGAACACCACAGCCTTCATTCCTACGCCATTTTTTGTATTTTTATGTTGTGCAGCGTTGATACTGGATGGTTTGAAGGAGCAATCAGGACTTACTATAGGGAAAGGAGCTCCGGAAGTTTTCTTGTGGAAGGGTTTTGCATTTCTTGGGAAGTGGTTCACGCATCCCAACTTTCCTCCAATCTAGGCCAAGGCAGAAATCCTTATTCACCTAACTTGTCTCGGGTCCTCTGGTTTAACATGTCTCTTCTTAGGTTAGCGGTGCTTATATTTTATTTCAACGGCGTGCGCAAGGTTAGAGGTATTCATTGAATTTGCAAGAAAAAAAAAACAATGGGCACGTAAGAGTAAAAAGTTCAGCTGGTCAGTGAAATGGGGATCGGGGAAAGGTTCAAATACGTGACGGTTATTGACCTCATCTCCAAGCGTTTTAGGAAAATTCGCAAATTTGTGAAGCCTTGTATCGATGCGCGTCCACTCCTTTCTACAGATTCTCTGAATTTTGAGCCGTTTTGCTCAATCTTTTGAAACGTCTACAAAGCTTGCCACTTTTCATCTACACCCACTCGCTGTGTTCCATTCTATATCGCGCTCTTTACTGAAAGCAGAGCCCGTAGATGAAAGCGGACTGCTGCTTGCGACTACTGCCCACTTTCCAAGTCTCGTAACCTTTTTTCGTAAAGGCATCCTTAGACACCCCTTGAACATTCCGCTCATGCTTAAGCACTTCTTCATCTTATTACAATATAGATCTCGAAAACTGCCACTGCTTCCGGATCAAAAGGAAGAATAGTCGCTGTTATTGGTGCTGTTGTCGACGTCCAGTTCGAAGAGAACCTGCCTCCAATCCTTAATGGTCTCGAAGTCACAGGCCGCTCCCCACGGCTCATTCTCGAAGTCTCTCAACATCTAGGTAAGCCGTTTTTAATGTGGTCGAATCTGCTGTTTTTCATTAGTGTCAGTCTTTTTTAGGAGACAATGTTGTCCGTTGCATTGCTATGGACGGAACTGAGGGACTTGTCCGTGGTCAAGAAGTTGTTGATACCGGAGATCCAATCATGATTCCTGTCGGTCCTGAGACTCTCGGCCGCATTATGAATGTCATCGGCGAGCCAATTGACGAACGAGGCCCTATCAACGCGAAGCACCGCGCCCCTATCCACGCTGAAGCACCCGAGTTCGTCGAAATGTCCGTCGAGCAAGAGATTCTAGTAACTGGAATCAAGGTCGTCGACCTGCTCGCACCTTACGCGAAAGGAGGAAAGATTGGTCTTTTCGGTGGTGCCGGAGTAGGAAAGACTGTGCTTATTATGGAGCTGATTAACAACGTCGCCAAGGCCCACGGAGGTTACTCTGTGTTCGCAGGAGTCGGAGAACGAACTCGTGAGGGTAATGACTTGTACCATGAGATGATTGAAGGAGGTGTTATTGATCTGAAGGTAACATTTGCTTCTTACTCATGGTTTGTGATTCTGTGAAAATCGCTGCTTTTAGGGAAAAAACTCAAAGGTATCATTGGTGTACGGTCAGATGAACGAGCCTCCAGGTGCCCGTGCTCGTGTGTGCTTAACTGGATTGAGTGTTGCCGAATACTTCCGTGACAAAGAAGGACAAGATGATGCTGCTCTGTTCATTGACAACATTTTCCGTTTCACACAAGCCGGTTCAGAAGTGTCTGCTCTTCTCGGACGTATTCCAGTCTGCTGGTAGGATACCAACCAACCTTGGCTACCGATATGGGTAGCATGCAGGAACGTATCACCACCACAACCAAGGGATCCATCACATCTGTGCAAGCTATTTACGTACCCGCCGATGACTTGACTGATCCTGCTCCTGCCACCACATTCGCTCACTTGGACGCTACCACTGTGTTATCTCGTGGTATCGCTGAATTGGCCATCTATCCAGCTGTCGATCCTCTCGATTCTACCTCCCGTATTATGGATCCCAACATCGTCGGACACAAGCACTACGATATTGCTCGAGGAGTGCAGAAGATTCTTCAGGATTACAAGTCTCTTCAAGATATCATTGCTATTCTTGGTATGGATGAGTTGTCTGAAGATGACAAGCTGACTGTATCCCGAGCCCGAAAGATCCAACGTTTCCTTTCCCAACCATTCCAAGTCGCTGAGGTGTTCACTGGTCACGCCGGAAAGTTCGTATCTCTCGAGGAGACGATCCGAGGATTCGAGATGATTTTGAAAGGTTAGTTTTTGCATTTCGGTTTACATAGGGGAAGGTGACGGGATGCACTATTGTGGTTGTATTCGCATGGACTTTATTATGAGACTTTCAGTGAAGGTGTTGTCGTTCCAGCGAGTAAGAAGTATGATCTGAAAAGTTTTTCGAAGACCTGGATTTCGCTGGGTTCCGGAAGAGATGGGAGGGGTCACCAATATTCCAATGTACAAACATGCGATAACTTATCATATTCCTTGTCCGCTTCGTCCTTCATTTCGCTTCTTCCTCAACTGCTCGTCTTAGCCACATTCGTAACTTGCAAGGTCGTTGTTTGCAAAATTGGCGAAAAATGTTGCCAATATAAGAATTCCTTTGATAGATATTCAATTTTTGTTGGGAGTGCTCCCGATCTTTAATGTGATCTCGCATTCCGTACATCCTGCGATGTACAGAACTCGAGATCTCTTGTCCGCGTCGGCTAGAACGCTAACCCGATCGATAACCACACTTTATCCTGCTATACCGGACCGTTCCCCTGCACGAATAAGCTTTTACAGTTACCAATTTCAATGAAAGAGATTTTTAGCGCAATCAAATTCCGCGGGCGAGTAACACCGAATTAGATCACTATACATGCTTGTTCTGTCATGTCCTTCATGATTTAACATACTGCTGTTGTTTCAGGAGAGCTCGACCACCTTCCCGAGGTTGCTTTCTATATGCAAGGAGGAATTGATGATGTGTTTGCTAAGGCAGAGGAGCTCGCTAAGCAACACAACACATAGATTAATTTTTAGTTTTGTTGCTATGTTGTAGAGATAAATTAAATCTATAAGTTTTTTTTTTGGTTCGCGTATACTGTGAGTTCAGTGGAAGCTTACCTGGCTGTTGTAATGAGTATCTTGTTTACGGTAAAACGACTGAGAAATTATAAACTGTGGACGCATCTCTCGCGTTTTGTATGTGAACTTGTTTTAGCTAGATAGGTTGAAGAAAAATGAAAATTCAATGAAAATCTGTTTCTGAACGTTGACAGTGTTGTGATGACAAGTCCGGTGAAGAAGTCGAAAAAGAAATCCAGTGAAGGGGAACTTGATTT